ACATACATACATACATACATACATACATACATACATACATACATACGATATCAAATTTAGTCAGACGCTTGGCTTTTGGTGTCATTCGTCAATGATTTGGTTTTAACATACATACATACATACATACATACATACATACATACATACATACATACATACATACATACCTAACCCTTTCCCTCACTCGTCCGTTCAGTAATTAACTCATTCATTCCTTCATCATTCACTCATTCATTCGTTTGGTTGCTGGCCCTTTCAATTGGTCATTCACTGGTTCATCCATTCATTCAGTCATTCACCCCACTTGGTTTGTTTCCTTTCCTTCGTTTCTTGGTTGTTTTTAATCACATATGGCTCCAACGTTACAACAGTGCCTCGTCTGCTTTAACCCCTATAGAAGCACTCCAGACGGAAAGTTATGTCGGCACGGAGGTAAAGTGAAAAGACAGGAATGCTCGGGGTCCCGGAAAAAAGTTGATCCATCGGGCGCGAGGGCTGCTTCGCCTCTCGGTGCCGCACCCGACCCCAAGCTTGGGTGCCCACACGGTCGTCGGCCGCATCGGTCTTTGGTGATCCTCTCGGCCTGGATTACTCTGGTGTTTTTGACAAGCTGACGGCCGTGCTGAAATGTGTACCGGTGTACGACCATATCCCTAAGCCATGCAGGGAGAAGTTCGCACATGATCTGAACGCCTTGCTGACGGCTGTTTGTAATGACCCTGGTGACCCGGCTCACTGGGTTAGACTCCACTGTTTTGTCCCATACGTCTTACAGAAGACTTCCAGAGGGGGTCGCCGGGTCAACCAGGGCAATCTGGTCAACAAGCGTCTAATCGAATATTCAACTATTGGTCTCGAAACCCTGGTACTGTGCTTTGATGGGTTCAATAATGCCAAATCACAAAAGCACAACCCCAATCGGTGGATCAACGCTGTGTCATCTTGTATTGAACAGGGAAACCTGTCCTCAGCTGTCAGACTTGTCTGTTCGCCGGAGGGCCTGGCGGAGAGCTCGCCAGCCACTTTCGATAAATTATGTTCCATCCACCCAAAAATTCCGGTGAACAGGCGGGTCTTCCCCGCATTGACACCAACGGCTGGTTGCGTTTCTCCCGCCGAGGTGCTGAGGGCCGTTAAATTGTTCAAAAACGGTTCTTCTGGAGGCCTGGATGGCCTACGACCCCAGCACCTTAAGGATGTTTTTTCAGGCCCCTTGCCAATCGACGACACACTGAACTCCTTAACCAAATTCATTAATTTGATCCTATCTGGAGCTTGCCCACTCTCCGTCCGCCGGTTCTTTTTTGGAGGCCGGCTAATAGCCCTAAATAAGAAAGACGGAGAAGACGGAGGAGTCAGACCAATTGCGGTCGGGAACGTTTGGAGGAGGTTGGCCGACAAATGTGCCTTGGCCCTGGTCGTGGTCGAACTCAAGACCAAATTCTACCCGACTCAGTTGGGTGTCGGGATTAAGGGTGGCGCTGAGGCTGCTGTTCATGCGGTTTGAAGATTGGTCACCGACCTCCCCGATCAATGGGGGTTTCTGAAACTGGACTTTAAAAATGCCTTCAACGCCTTGAGAAGAGACTCGATGTTGGAGGCTGTCAAACTTTTTTGCCCCAATATCAATAATTTTTGCCATTCTGCCTATGGCGGAGTCTCTTCCCTTGGCTACCACTCTTGGGTTGTAGAATCGTCCGAGGGGGTACAGCAGGGTGATCCTCTTGGTCCTTTGCTGTTTGCCCTAACTCTTCATCCACTCTTAGAGAAAGCTTCGTCCTCTTTCGTTTGCGCTTATCTGGATGATATCAACATTGCTTCGGACGGCCCAACTCTGGCCGATAGCTACGAATATTTGAAGCATAACTCCGCTGCAATTGGTTTAAAGTTAAACATTAAAAAATGCGAACTTTACTGCCAAAGTTTATTTCAGGTGCCACATGCGCTGGCTGGAATATCCAGAGTTGGTGCATCAGAACTGAGTTTTTTAGGCACACCCTTGGTCGAGGGCGATTATCAAAAAAAGTTTTTTGACCAAAAGCTCTCTGAGCTTAAATTCGCCCTGGGTCGTGTTTCCTGTCTTTCGGCCCATGATGCCTTGATTATTATCCGCAATGCCTTCAGTTTGCCCAAATTGATGTACTTCCTGTGTACATCCAAACACATTGACCCTTCTAAATTGGGCGAATTTGACGGAGCCCTGCGCACCGCCCTGTCGTCGATTTGCAATGTTCAAGTGGCCGACAGTGGTTGGTCCCAGGCTCAGCTGCCGGTGCGGTTTGGTGGGCTGGGGTTGCTTAGCGTGGTTCAGCTGGTTCCTGTTGTTTATAATTCTTCTGCCGCTGCCACTCTCGACCTGCAGTCTTCCCTGCTCCACCGGTTTTTTCGGTGCCGCAATATTCTTCCCCCAGTGTCCGCCCTGGGGGACCGTACGCACGTCCAAATTTTGAACGAAGAATATAAAAAATTTTTCAAAATTTGTTGTTTTCATGCGGCGACGACTTTTCCACCGCTCGTTTGTTGGCCATGTCCAACGTTGCCAGCTGTGGGTGGTTGAGATCGTGGCCCAACACCTCTGTGGGCACCAGGCTTGACGACGAGTCAGTGAGATTTGCAATTGGCTTCAGACTTGGCCTGGTCATTCAAAATAATTACACGTGCCGATGTGGCGCTGGGGCGGACGAGTTTGGGCACCACGGTTTGGTTTGTCGCCTGGGTGGGGGCTTAGGGTTAGGGTTAGGGTTAGGGTTAACCCGTCAACTACGTCACTCAGCGCTAAACGAATACATTTGTCGGCTCTTCTCCAAGGCTTCAATCCAGGTTCTCAAGGAACCATCCGGCATTTCTGCGCATGATGGTAGGCGCCCGGACGGATGCACACTAATACCTTGGAGAGCCGGCAGATGTTTGGCGTGGGATGTTACGGTCCCTGGCACCTTCGCCGAACGATATGTAAACCTGACAAGTAAAGAATGTGGTTTGGCCGCGGCCAGGGCAGCGGACGAGAAAATGAAAAAATATGGGAACGCCCTCCCCTCGATGGAATTCTTGCCAATATGTATCGAGGTTCTCGGCCCGATGGACCCCAACACCCTTAAATTTCTTAAGGCAATATGTAAAATGATCAGCGTGAGATCAGGCAACAGCAGGGAACTGTTTTTCGCAACTAACCACATTTCGTGCTTGTTGCAGCGGTTCCTGCGTGTCTGTGTGCTTGAAAATATCCAACTGAATGCCGACATGTGCAATTAACGACAAATCAAAGTGTTAATCCATTTGTTACTTGATGTTTGACGGTTCAGTGTCACTCATCATGTTTTGGTTTTAACATACATACATACACAAACCTTCATACATACATACATACATATATACATACATACATATATAACACACACAAACATACATACATACTAAATACTAGAAATAAATCTCAAAACGAAACCTTTTTCTAAAATAAAAGCGCCAGCAATCAATTGCTCAGAGACACGTTTTATTAATTATTTTATTTCTATTTTCTCTCTCTCTCTCTCTCTCTCTCTCCCTCTCTCCCTCTCTCTTTCTTTCTCTCTCTCTCTCTCTCTCTCTCTCTCTCTCTATATATATATATATATATATATATATATGTGTGTGTGTGTGTGTGTGTGTGTGTATGCATGTATGTATGTGTGCATGCATGTATGTATGTATGTGTGCGTGTGTATACACATGTGTGTGTGTGTGTGTTTCTATTCGTATGTTAGTTTGACATGCGTTATTCGATTCATATCTTTTAGGAATTGGTCTGAAAATCATCTCAAAGTTTTTAACTCAAACACTTATGGAACTGAACTTGAAAAAAAAATTAATTTTTTTGTAAAATATTCTGAAATACAATTAAGATATATCAAATGAAAATTTAACTTTCAATTACGAACTGAAAAATTTGATAAAGTTAGCTTGACTTTGTTGGCCGTTCAGTTGGTTTTCATATCGATCGAACATTCTTTGTTCGTGAAGAAAACAAATGTAAAAATTATGGTCCATTCAGTAACTTTCATTTTCCATCCAACTGGTTATGAGATTAAAAATAATCCGTGAAACAAACATACATACATTGAATGGATGGATGGATGAATGAATGAATGAATGAATGAACGAAAGAATGAATGAATGAATGAATGAATGAATGAATGAATGAATGAATGAATGAATGAATGAATGAATGAATGAATGAATGAATGAATGAATGAATGAATGAATAAATAAATTAATTAATTAATTAATTAATTAACCAATGAATGAAGGAAAGAAAGAATTGAATTGACTACTGAACGATTGTAACACAATTAAAAATGGTAATTAATTATATATAGATGCATTACACATACATACATACACGCGTATCTACACACACACACATACAGACAGACACACACACACACACACA